GGCTAGGTGAATGTTCTTTATTTTATTTTCCTTTTTAGTACTTCATTTTAAGGGTCTACGGGCGTTGTATATTGTAAACTTTGTATAAATGTGTGAGACACCTCATTTAGATTGTATTATATTTACGTACGGAATCTAGTTTTTTATTTTTTATTTTTTAATTATTGTATTGTTCTATTGCCACGTGTCGATTTCGGATGTATCTCGGATCAAGGCGTGACACATGGCACGGGCCATGGGCTCCTCGGGCTGCCCATGACATTATTATGGGTAGGGGTGGGTGCGGTGCAGGTTTCGAGTGAAACCACAACCGAAACTGAAACTTTTTGCAGTGCGGTTTTGAAGCCAAAACCGAAATGAAACCAAACCATTTGATTCGGTTCGGTGCGGTTTCAAATGGTTTCGGTTTGGTTTTTGAGAAAAAAATGTACAATTTAAAATATACACCTATTTATGCATAAGACGGTCTTATTTTCCTCATATATTAATTAATGAATATGCAGCAAAATTGCAGCAACAACAATGCAGCAAAAAACAGTGGCAAAACTGCAAAAAAAATGCAGCAAAAAACAGCAGCAAAGCAGCATAAAAAATGTAGCAAAACTGCACCAAAACTCAGCTAAACTGCACCAAATCTGCACCAGAATTGCACCAGGTCGTAGAATTGAAGATGATTTTCAAGAAGATGAGTTAAGGAAAAGATGAGTTAAGGAGATGAAGATGTGTTTCAGCCTTCAGGAGCCGAAGTGCAAAACTAGATTAAAAGTTTAAAATATAACACTTATTTATTTATTTTATTATATGGTGAGGTTTCGATTTCGGTGCGGTTTTGAAAACCCAAAACCGAAATCAAACTGTTTTCTTTGTTGCGGTTCGGTTTTGAAACCAAAAACGTTTCAAAACCGCAAAACCAAACCGTTCAGTGCTGTTCGATTGGATTTATGTTTCGGTTTCGGTTTTCGGTTCCAAGTGGCCACCCCTAATTATGGGCCCTCCGAGTCGCCCATAGTACATCCAGCCATCGTGCCATATCCAGTCAAATGGTGGCAGGGTACCGACTCTTTTGAATCTCCTATTGGGGGTTCGACGCAACTGCGTTCTTAGCACATGACTTTTAAACTGCTAGCAAACAAAATTGCAGAGATTGTGCTGAACCATTAAAGATTGCTGGTATGGTCTGCAACCTCACCTCTCAGCTGCCGACTAGGGTTTTTCCATATAAATATCCAAGTCATTAAGAGAAAACGGTAATCTTCACGTACCACTTAGAACTCTCTCAAATTCTATTCTTCTCTTTACAACTTTTCTGACTTAGGCATCAGAGGTCTTTTGGTTGACACCCTACCCCTTTTAGGGGTTTCGCCAATTAGGCTAACGGTGTTTGTTCATTTATAGGTGGAATTTTGTCAAATCTACAGTGTACGAAGTTTTTTACTTGTATAACTTTAGATGATGGTAAAGAGAATAAACTGTTTTGATTATGATGCTCACATGAAGAAGATATGTTAATCATAAATGGAATGACAAGTAGGTACCCACATGAGTAGAACAGAAACATTATCAAGATTAAAAGGACATGTAGATGGAGATAAAGATTAAAAGTTAACAGAAATTGAAGCAGTAAGAATGAAAATAAAAAGCATCTTAAAAAAGAGAAATTGACTAGTTTTAACTGCAAAAGGATAAATGAACGTCATCAAATTTCTAAAAGAGAAACGGTAGGTAAGAACAAAATTCGACCAAAAAAAAAAAAAAAAAAAAAAAACCAGAAAAAGGAAAAAACAAAACTCATTAGATGACTTGTGCTTATAATACAAAATTATCGACACTTGGTAAGCAAAATGGCATGTGGGCTCCATGCATTAAGGTTATCTCCAACCCACGTTTAAAATTTCAAAATTTAGTCTCATATTTTCAACTATTCGCTTATACGTATGAGGTTAGCCAATTTTTTCCTCCAATGGTATGAGACCTATAATTCCAACCCCCACCTTTATAATTTGCTAAACTTTAATATTTCGTTGATTTTTTTTGGCTAATAATTTTGGAATAATTTTTGTGCAATCTACCTTGTTTTATTTTACAAATATTTTGATGTAAAAAAAAGTTCAAATTTGGTACAAATGGATGGGTATTTATTGAGTTTTGGTTTTGGATTTGATTAGGATAATTAATAATATTATTTTGGCTGTTAAATTTAAATTTGAGCCATTTGGGTTTTTTTTTTTACCGTTAAAAGTGATTAAACTAGATTTGAGCCATTGGATTTAAAATTGATTAAACTAATGCAGCTAGGCGCTACACTGGATCAAAACCTAAAGCATGCGCTAGCCATTGGATGGTAACGACTATATAATCTGGGCTGTGAGTTGGGTGCACCTGCTCGCAGACAATTTGTCTGCTTAGAACTTTGGCACGGGGCCTGTATGGGCTTGTCTCACGTGCAGAAGGAGAAAAGATGGGGCCCTTGGTCCACTTCAACCTTATCCACCTGGAGTGGGAAGCAATCACAAATTCCCACCCCCCAAACCTAAAATCCTATTTTTCTAAGGTCATTTCCAACCGAAGAAGGGTCAAAGAGCTCGTTTTAGCCCTATAGCCCTCCAAGAAATTAATATTTTCATAAACAGTGTCATACCATATTTCTTACTGTCACATCCCGGCCTAAGCCCCCACCACATCCCGGGCTCGACTCCACCGTAGCACGATATTGTCCGCTTTGGGCCCCGACCACGCCCTCACCGTTTTGTTTTTGGGAACTCACACGAGAACTTTCCACGCTACTTGCTTAACTTCGGAGTTCCTTTGGAACCCGAAGCTAGTGAGCTCCCAAAAGGCCTCGTGATTAATGGAGGTGGGAATGTACATATAAGGCTTAGAGGATCCACTCCCTTGGGCGATGTGGGATGTTACAATCCACCACCCTTAGGGGCCCGACGTCCTCGTCGACACACTTTTGGGCAGGGATTGGCTCTGATACCAAATCGTCACATCCCGGCCTGTGCCCCCACCACATTCCTGGCTCGACTCCACCGTAGCATGATATTATCCGCTTTGGGCCCCGACCACGCCCTCATGGTTTTGTTTCTGGGAACTCACACGAGAACTTCTCGGTGGGTCACCCATCATGGGATTGCTTTCGCGCGCTACTCGCTTAGCTTCGGAGTGGAACTCGGAAGCCAATGAGCTCCCAAAAGACCTCGTGCTAAATGGAGGTGGGAATGTACATATAAAGCTTAGAGGATCCACTCCCCTGGGCGATGTGAGATGTTACACTTACATCTCCAACCGAGGGGCCAAAGGGCCATTGGCCATATATAGCCCTATAACAAAAAATCATCTCCAACCGAGGGGGCCAAAGGGCCATAGGGCCAAACATAATTTATTATTTAATTGAATTAATCTGGTTACTTAAATTAAACTACCTCAATAATTTTTCGAGATGGAATGTCAATAATTAAGTTTTATGTTGTTTAATGTTACTTAATGTTGTTTTATGTTGTTAAATGTTTTTTTTTAATGTTGTTTAAGTTTTATGTTATTTAATGTTGCTTAATATTGTTTAAAGTTGTTTAATGTTACTTAGTGTTATTTAATGTTGTTTAATGGCTTTGGTAGTTATAGGAAAAAAAAAATAGTTATAGGAAAAAAAAATAGAGTTTTTAAATTAAAAAAATTGTAAAAAAAAAAAATCAAATTTAACGGCTAGCTGATGTTAGCAAGTAGTCGTTGGATTCAAATGCTTGGGCTGGCTCGGGGCTAGCTGGCTGGCCCAAAGGGGCTAGCATGTTGGTCTGATTCCTCTTTTTTGGCCTGGTGGGGCCCACGAGCCATTTGGCCTAGCCCTCAGCTGGATACGGTTTTCGTGTCATTTCAGTCTATTTTTGGCCCTCTGGTCCTTTGGTCCTCTAGCTGGATTGGTTGAAGATGGACCTAACCCCTAGAATACACCTCGGGGAGAGGTTTTGGGCCCAAATTTTGGATTTTTTTTTAATTTTTTTTTTATTTCTCAACCTCTTGGAAAAGCCTAAGGGAGAGATATGTACAATGTTTTTTGTTAGACTAAGATGCTTCACTAAAACACCATATGAAGTTATAATGGACACCTCAAAACGGTTCATTTGAAACACAAACGTAAATATCAAGACACACAAGCTTCATCAAAAGATATCACTGTTTGAACACTATCACGAAACAACAAAAAAAACATAATCACATAGAGAGATACCAAATTAAAATTCAAGTGAACAATAAAAATGATAAGGTATTGACGAACTACATTTCCTACAAACAATATTATCTACACTAAGGGGGAGGGGGTGCACTTAACCTCACAATGGGCTACCAGTAATGTAGTTCAAATTCGCTTTTAGCAAGAATCGAACCTAAGATTTCTCACTTACAAGTGAAGAGGAATACCACTAGACCTTTCACTTAAAATTGTATAAGGTTAACTTTTTGCCGAATTGATTGTCAAACTTTCATTAAATTGATCAAGTAGTGTGTGTGTGTGTGTGTAACATTTATATATGTGAATCTGTAAGTCACATTTACAATATATTGACAAACTAAAACAACTCACTTACAAATAAAAAAAATATCACAAGATTATATGACTAAGCGGCGGCGACACTAGAAAGTTAAAGGGGCACAACTAATCTTTTTATGTTTTTGTCATTATTTTAGGTTGCTTGGTGAGGTGGGTTACACAACAGTGTACTCTGTGAGTCTCTAGGGTAAATTGAAGGAGAGAGGAAAGAAAAATTGAATGGTAAGAATGAATTGTAAAAAGTAAAAATATTTAAAAAGAGAGGAAATTGAACGGTAATTAAAAAAAGTTGTAATTAAAATAAAATAAAAAAACGAAAAGAGAGGGGCAAAAACGAACAAGACCCATTCGATTTTCTGATTTCCGATCTCCTAAAGAACCTACCTTTTGACCGCCTGACGGGTTCAGTTTGTTACCACAAACAATTACCCCCTCTCTCTCTCTCTCTCCCCTCGCTCTCTCTCCCCTCCCCCTTCTCCTTCTCTCCCTTACCAAAAACACCAAAACAACTCTCTCTCTCTCTCTCTCTCTCTCTCTCTCCCTTTTCCTCTCTCTGTGTTTAAGTTGTTCTCTCATGGTTTCTCAATAAAACCCTTATCTTTCTCCACACTCTCACTCCCCAGGTACTGCAATCAGACCCCGATCACTCTCTTAATCACTCGCTTTACGGTTCGGTTAATTAGGTTTGGTTGATTTGATTTGGCGTTTGTGGATCTGCGTGTTTGGTTGCAGAGAAAATTTTGAGGAAAAGTTAATTGGGAATTAATCGTAGGAATATATGTCCTTCAATCAATCAAGGTCGGACAAGAACGAGACGCAGTACCGGAAAACAGGGCGATCAACTGGCTCTAATCAGCAGCACAGGGGATACTCACCCGCTTACCCTAAGGGCACCGCCGCCTCCGGTGGGCCCGCCCCTTCCATCTCCTCCAACCGCAGGTATGCATATATGCATATATATATATATTTATATATATACATACATATATATCTGTGTGTGTGTATCGTATCTACTTATTTGCATTTGTGTCCCTGCGTAGGGTTTGTTTCTGATCAGTTATACTTCACTTTTAACAATCTCTGCAATTATATTGCGTTGGATTGTGATTTTACGTTTTTGTTCTTTTTATACGTTTCGGAATTTATGAGATGCTGGACATTAGGGTTTGATGATTTTTATTTTAAATATTCAGTTTTAAGAAGAATAATAACAATGCACAAGGAGGGCAATCCAGGGCAAGTGGTTACATAAGTCCTCAGGATTTCGGTAGTGCTTCTGCACAACGTGGTGGTGTACAAAATGGAGCCCATGTACAGCCCCAATTGCATGGTACAGATTTCAAAATTTCAGTTCTCTTTCAGTCTAAAAATTTATGTGATATTATCGTGATTGTTTTGTAGAGTTTTATGGTTAGTTGAAGGAGTATAGGCGTATGAGATAAATGGGTTCTTTTTTACAATCTGTTTTGCCCATTTTGATTGATTTTCATTTCTTTGCAATGTTTTCCTGCGATTGATTTAATGTAGGAGGTTCTGATGCACCCATTGCAAGCACAGCTCCCCGGACAGCTGAAGCATCAGCTCCTCAGAGAAGCTCCCGAACTGTTCCAAAGGCTCCAACTTCTCAATCTGCCTCTGTGGCATCTGACACAAGAACACCCACTACACCAGCGAAGCGTAAGTTCACACACTGGACCATGGATTTTGTTGTACTCGCTGTTGGGGAATATCGGCATATTTTCAGTGTTATATAGCAACATTATGATGTCAATGCTAGATTTTCTTGGCAGTGTTCTCCCAAATAGGCAATTTAATAATGATTTTAACGTGCTGATTTATGATATATTGATAAATGCAAGTATTCAGGTTTTAACTTTTTCTGTTGGTTTTAGCCCCAGGAGATGCGACCAAGGGCTTTGCCTTTCAGTTTGGGTCTATAAGCCCTGGTTTCATGAATGGGATGCAGGTATTGTTATATGCTATTGCTTGCGAACACTTGATGTAAATTCTGAAATTTCTTGTATTTCTATGTGATGAACAAATTTATAGCATGTTTTTAAAAGCGGAAAGGTTGTGTTCCTTGTAGATTCCTGCTCGAACCAGCTCAGCTCCCCCAAATTTGGATGAGCAGAAACGTGATCAGGTTAGCGTGTTTTCCTTTTCTCTCATCTTCCTGCTTATTTTTTAATGAATAGTCTGATGGGTTCAACTGCACATGATACTCTTTGACAGAATATCTGTACAGTACATTTCTTCCTATATGTCCTCTTTGCTAATATAATGAAATAGTATTCTTTGTATTTGTATTTAAATGTTATTTAATTTCAATGAGTAATTCCGCATCCTTGGGCAGTTTTTATGGCTGATTACACTTTTCACTTTTGTTTATTAGTTGTGAAATCATTGTGTCATGTTTGAGCATGCAGGTGCGCTATGATTCTTTTAGAGCTGTGCCTTCAGTGCCAGTCCCTACTGTTCCTAAGCAGCAGTTACCAAGGAAAGATTCAGCTTCCATTGATCAGCCTAATGCTACTGAGGTTCATATGGTACCCAAGGTTAAAAAGGATGAGCAAGTCTCACATGCACCCCCTACTAGTCAAACTCAGAAACCTTCTTCTCATCCAATACCGGGGATGTCCATGTCAATGCCATTTCATCAGCCACAGGTTCCGGTGCAATTTGGTGGCCCCAACCAGCAGATCCAATCTCAGAGTATGATTGCCAGTTCACTTCAAATGCCAATGCCTATGCAATTACCAATTGGTAGTAGTCAAGTACAGCAGCCAGTGTTTGTTCCAGGTCACCAGCCCCATCCAATGCAGCCCCAGGGAATTATACATCAGGGACCGAACCTGACTTTTACCTCCCAAATGGGTCCTCAGATACTTCCGATAGGCAACTTGGGGATCAGCATGGCGTCACAATACCCCCAACAACAGGGTGCAAAGTTTGGTGGCCCTCGTAAAACTCCTGTCAAGATTACACATCCAGATACACATGAAGAGTTGAGGCTTGATAAACGGACAGATTCATATTCGGATAGTGGGCCATCAGCCCCCAGGACTCACCCTAATATTCCTCCTCAATCTCAGCCTATACCATCATTTGCACCTCCTCATACTACCAACTATTATGCCAATTCTTACAATCCCAGTTCCCTATATTATCCGGCTCCAAGTTCTCATCCCTTAACTAGTAGTCATATGCCACCCAATTCACAAGCACTGAGGTTCGGCTATCAAGTGAGCCAGGGTTCCCAACCTGTACCTTTCATTAATCCATCATCTCATAATACCCTGCCTGTAAGCAAGTCTGGGTCCCTTGTGCACAATGTGGTGGATCCACCTAACCAGGAACACGTACGCGATGTACATAATATAAGTGCCTCTGTTCCATCAACAACTATTCCTGTTGTAGTTAAACCTCCTGCTGGAACTGTTGGAGAGAAGGCTGTCGACCCATTGCCAAACAGCTCAGCTGCTGTTGAAAAAGGTGAATTATCGAAGCCTTTGAGACAATCGGGAGAAGTTATCCAATCTGCAGGTGACCAAAACATCCTCAAATCATTGACAGTGATGGAAAAAGTATCTGCAAGTGGACTTGCTACTGCTTCAGTTGAAAAACAGGTTTCAAATCCTTTGTCCTCTTCTTCAGTTGCTCCAACTGAGGAGTCTGTACCAGTTGTGACCACCACTGAACCCAGAAGAAAGGAAACTCTTAGTCGGTCCAACTCAATTAAAGATCAGCAAAAGAAAACAGGGAAGAAAGGAAATGTTCAACCACAGCTTCAGGTACTTATTTTCAGTACTTTCAGATAACCTTCCATTTTCTTCTCTTTAGCGGTAGCTTTTAAATTTGTGTCATCATTTTACACCCTTGATGACAGGTTGTTGGGCAGTCTAGCTTTACATCAAGTGTTCCGTCTCAGTCTGCAGAACATGGTATACCTTCTAGTAGTGATATTTCTGGAACTGTAGAAGCTAATACAACTCTTGCTCCAGTAAGCAGTGCATCTGTGTCAGAGTCAGCGAAGGAACCACTGTCAGATGTTAGTGCTCCTACTGATCGTTCTGAATCAAAGACTGAAGCTATTGGGGAAGGCACTATTCCCATCACCTCTGAAATATCTGGTCCTGGGATGATTGTTGGTACTTCAGATTCTGTTCAACATAGTCAACTAGACAATTCTTTACAACCAGATGAACAAGGACAACTTGACTTGACGGGAGCAGAAAAACAGGCAGAACAAATTTTGTCTGGAAATTACAAACAGGATACTAAAGGTCATGGTATTTCTGCAGATTCTATTTCCGTAGAACCTCTGGAATCTGCTAAAGTACCTGCGGAGCATTCTGTTGTGAAGGCAACAGCTAAAGAAAGTACAGTTGCAACCTCAGACCCTGCACAAGGGGGGCAGGGCCAATATGAAAGTCTCCATGCAGAATCTGACGGAATGGATGCCTCTTTAAGCAGAAGTGATGGAATGGGTGGCAATGAAGTTTCTTTTTCAAAACCTAGCAAATTAGAGCAGCATTCTGCTTCTGTTCAAACTACCGAACTTTCAGGCAGAACTTCAAAAACTGAAGGTACATGTGAGGAGAATTTTGGTGGTGGTGGGGGAAATATTGAGAATATTGGTAGTGGTGGCGATTCTCTTACGGTGTCAGGCTTCAGGGACAAACATGAACTGAGTAGAACTAAGAGTACTATAGCAAAGGCGAAGAAGAAAAGAAAAGAAGTTCTGTCAAAGGCAGATGCTGCTGGTGTGACCTCTGATCTTTATGGGGCATACAAGAACCCTGAAGAAAAGAAGGGTATTGAAGACACCGAAAGTACTATGACCAGTTTAATTTCAAAGCAGGTAGCTATTGATGCTCCTCAGCAACATGTTTTAGGGAGGGAGAGAGATGCACCTGTTAAAGTTGAGCCTGAGGATTGGGAAGATGCTGCTGACATCTCTACCCCAAAACTGGAAACCTCAGATACTGTAGAGCAGGTCCATGGAGTGGAGGATTCTGACAAAGATGGACATGAACATGGGACGAATAAATATTCCAGAGATTTCCTTTTGAAGTTTTCTGTGCAATTTACTGAGCTTCCAAAAGGTTTTGAAATTATATCTGATATAGCAGAGATCTTCAATGCTAATGTGAATACTGCTCCTTATGATTCACTCCCTAGTCCGGGAAGAATTATTGACAGGCAAGGAGGGGCTGCAAGACTTGACCGTCGTGGGAGTGGATTGATGGATGATGATAGATGGAATAAGGGAGCTGCTGTCCGAACTGCCCAAGGACCAAATTTTGGTGTATTGAGGAATCCACGTGCACCGGCACCAGGTCAGCAGCATGTTAGAGGGATCCTGCCTGGGCCTGCCCACTCTGTTGGCCATCAGGGAGGGATGCAAAGAAATAATTCTGATGCTGACAGGTGGCAGAGAGCTACGAATTTTCAACCAAAGGGCTTGATGCCATCTCCTCATACTCCATTACAGGTGATGCACAAAGCTGACAGGAAGTATGAGGTGGGTAAAGTGAGTGATGAAGAGCAGGCCAAGCAAAGGCAGTTAAAGGCTATACTAAACAAGTTAACTCCACAAAATTTTGAAAAACTTTTCGAGCAAGTAAAAGCTGTCAATATAGATAATACAACGACTCTAACTGGTGTCATTTCACAGATCTTTGACAAGGCTCTTATGGAGCCTACTTTCTGTGAGATGTATGCAAACTTCTGTTTTTATCTTGCCGGAGAGTTACCTGATTTCAGTGAAGATAATGAAAAGATTACTTTTAAGAGATTGCTTTTGAACAAGTGCCAGGAGGAATTTGAGAGGGGAGAAAGAGAGCAAGAGGAGGCCAATAAGGCTGATGAGGAGGGTCAGGTGAAACAGTCTGAAGAAGAAAGAGAGGAGAAAAGAATTAAAGCGCGAAGACGAATGTTGGGTAATATTAGATTAATTGGGGAGCTTTACAAAAAGAAAATGTTGACCGAGAGAATAATGCACGCATGCATTCAAAAGTTGTTAGGTCAGCAACAGACTCCGGATGAGGAAGATATTGAAGCTTTGTGCAAACTAATGAGCACAATTGGGGAGATGATTGATCATCCGAAGGCCAAGGAGCACATGGATGCATATTTTGAAAGAATGAAAAGCTTATCGAATAACATGAAATTATCTTCTAGAGTTAGGTTCATGTTGAAGGACGCAATTGATTTGAGAAAGAATAAATGGCAGCAGAGGAGGAAAGTTGAAGGACCAAAAAAGATTGAGGAAGTGCACAGAGATGCTGCACAAGAACGGCAGGCACAGTCTAGTAGGCTGGCCCGTGGTCCTGGAATCAACCCATCAGCTAGAAGGGGGCCTCCTATGGAATTCAGTCCAAGAGGATCGACTATGTTATCTTCTCCTAATGCCCATATGGGTGGTTTCCGTGGGATGCCTGCTCAGGCTCGTGGTTATGGTAGTCAGGATGTCCGCACAGATGAAAGACATTCTTATGAGAGTAGGACCTTGTCAGTTCCTTTGACTCAAAGACCCATCGGTGATGATTCTATTACTTTGGGTCCCCAGGGTGGTCTTGCCAAAGGAATGTCCATCAGAGGACCACCATCAATGTCAGCTGCTCCTTTGGCTGAGATGCCTCCCACTGCTGGAGACTCTAGGAGGATGACTGCTGGTTTGAATGGTTTCAGTTCTCTTTCAGAGCGGACAACATACAATGAAAGGGAGGATCTTGTGCCAAGATATATGCCAGATAGATTTTCAGGTCCAGCTGCTTATGATCAGTCAAGTGCGCCAGAGCGTGATTTAAATTTTGGTGGTAGGGACCCTAGGAGTTCAGATCGTAGTTTTGATAAAACTCTTCCAACTTCACCACCCACACGTGCACATGGAGCAGTTTCAACACAAAATGTTCCATCAGAAAATGTGTTGACTGAAGACCGTCTTAGAGATAAGTCTTTGGCAGCAATTAAAGAATTTTACAGGTATATTCTTATTTTTGAGAGAGCAGTCCTTTCTCAGTACTTGTTTTTTTAGGTTAAGAAATTGTCTCATGCATGCTTTAGACTGTTCTAATTTTTTTTTTTTTTTTTTTTCTTAGTTCAATGCATCTTTTAGATGTGATAGTTCTCAGCTTGAAAAAAGTCTGCCTAATTTGCTTAATGTGAGTGTGTATTCAATTCTTGAAAGGAAAATGGGGCATGGTTCTGTGCCTGGGGAATGGATAGGATTTAGGAGCAATGGTTGGTCATCTTCCAATTATTTTGGTCAACTTCAAGTTGCATAAGTAGAATTGGGATTGTTTCTCTGGCATTGAATGGACCCCACAGGTGATACAGGGAAAAGGAAAAAAAAAAACAATAAAAGTGAAGGAGTTGAGTTAGTTGTGATGGATTTTGTTGTGAGATTACTTGTATACTATGTTATAAAGTGGTAGAGACAATTTGTTCGGAGTCTCATAAATGTAGCTGGTGTCAGAATATGGGGTCCATGAACCAAGCTCAAGTGGCATGGGATGAGTGAGGTGTGGGCAGAGGTCCTAAGTTCAAATATTTGTGTTAGAAAAGAAAATAAAAGAATGTAGGCCAAAGACAGTGATTTCTATCTATTCTAATGTTCCTCTGGTAACCAACTCATCTTTAATTGTTAGATCTCAGTTGGAAAAATTCACTTCATGTGCAGTTGGCCAGTTGTTTTAGTTGCTGTCTTGGTTAAACCGCATGCTTGAAATTGTTTAAATGTTTATGTTTTTTCACATCTATTGAAAAATATACTGTAGGGTTTCTGTGCATAAGTTACACTGATGTAGAAATAAATAAGTTCGGATTATTTTAGCATGTAACAGGGTTTTATGCTTTTGAAGATGAAAATCTTTTTATCAATTTTCATGTATGTCTTATTTTTTTAGTGTTATCTGCCCTCTTAATTTTTTGCCGAAATTATTGTTGTGCATTCATGGATATTGAGAAACCTTGGGAAGTTGTTTTGCATGGAGTTGTAGTACAGCATTTGAACTGCTACTTTGGAAACTTGAATGCAGTGAGTGCAATGACAAGTAATGTGATGTCTAAATGTGTTTAGTTTGATCGTGCATATATGTGGTTTGTCTATTTTAATTATATACTTTCGGAAAAGCAAGCAGAATTGTTATAGAAGTATGGATCCATTTTGGAATAGGTCTGCAGTGTTTTTTTTCTTTTCACGCACCTAATATATGGTTTATGTTGACAATTATAACTGTAGCATTGTCTTTTGATGGGTGGGATGTATTATAGAACTTCTGATATGTTATCTGATAACTCTCGTTAAGATTTTTCATATGCTCTTCCTTAATTTTGTTTCCGTCATATTTTCAGTGCTCGAGATGAGAAAGAGGTTGCTTTATGCATTAAAGAATTGAACTCACCAAGCTTCCATCCGTCAATGATCTCCCTTTGGGTCACAGACTCTTTTGAGAGGAAGGATGCAGAAAGAGATCTCTTGGCAAAGCTTCTAGTCAAGCTTACAAAGACCCATGATGGAACATTGAGTCAATCTCAGCTCATCGAAGGGTAGGGAAAGTTTACGTCTGCATTTGGTTATTGACATTGCTTGTCTTCTCGGTGTTGTGCATTTTTCTATTATTTAATTTCTTACGTTATATCTGCCCAGGTTTGAAACTGTTCTGTCAACCTTAGAGGATGCCGTGAATGATGCTCCGAGAGCACCAGAGTTTCTTGGCCTTATCTTTGCCAAAGTCATTTTAGAAAATGTCGTTTCCCTGAATCAGATTGGTCAATTAATACGTGAAGGTGGAGAGAAGCCAGGGCGTCTTCTGGAAGTCGGGCTTGCAGGCAACATTCTTGGGAACGTATTGGAGATTATCATGTCAGAGAAAGGAGATAGCGGTTTGAACGAGATCCGTAAGACCTCCAACTTACGGTTGGAGACTTTTCGGCCCCCAAATCCTCTCAAATCAAGGTTACTAGAGAAATTTATTTAGAGATTAGTGATGCTCGTTGTAATCGTGTTAGAAGGAATTTATCTAATGGGATGGGGAGGGGAGGGGAGGGGAGGGGATGGGATGGATGGGGAGTAGTCATTCTCCATGTTTTAATGTTATTTCTGAACAATATTTACTGCAGTTATGAACGGTTCAATTGAGCATCAAATTTTCTAGCCCCCTTTTAATTGCTCTCTCTGGGTATCTTTGTGATCCTAATTAGTAATTAGTGTGTTTTTCCTTGCAATCATGACTACTTTGTAGATCCGAATGCTCGATCGATTTCTTCCGTCGGTTTCTGTAAGCTGTGAAAAAGCCGATAGAATATGTCCAGGTTTCAATTCTGTTCAATAAATAGGTTTTGATTCTTTCCAATAAAGTTGATAGTTTGTTCTGCTCAATAAAGCCGATCGGCATAGGTTTCCATTCTGTCCAATAAAGTTGATCGACTAAGTTTAAAGTCGATTGACTGAGTTTAGGATTAAAATAGGTTCATTTTTTTATTCCATACAAAGCGTGAGCACGTGTTCAGTTTTCGATTCCGTGCAAAGCGAGACCATGAGTTTAGGATTAAAATAGGTTCAGTTTTTTATTCCATACAAAGCGTGAGCACGTGTTCAGTTTTCGATTCCGTGCAACGCGAGACCAAAGGGCTTTTATGGTTCCTTGATAATGTTCAATTGCCTGAAGGATCCTCTTACTCTTACGTTGTGGCTTTCATTCCGGAAGAAAATATGACCAGTTGGAGCTTTGATGCACAACAATCTTCGTTATCTTGCAACTTCCGTCCAAAATAAAAAGATTTAAGAAGCAATTAAGGGACACAAGTTCTAACGACTAAGAGTGTAATCTAAAAGGACTCCCTCCACATTGTAACACGTTCGTGATCAATGCTCATGAATTTTTAAATTAAAGACCAAACCACCAATTGGATAGAAATTTCAATAATTTCTTTCATTTTGAATCTTAACTGTTTTAGGCTCCCAAGAGAACTGCAAACCTTAATAAACAAAAATGTCGAAAAGCCATCGCAAAACACAGTAACACTAAGCTTCTTTTCTTTTTCTTCAAGAAACCAAAATTCTGGTAGAATCATACTGTAACTGTTTCTACAACCTAACGCAACAAAGCCCTCAAGTAATCAACCAAAAACACAATACAAGACTTTACTAACCTGTTAAAACGAGAACCGTAACAAGTACACGCACACAAATTCATAATTCACACTTCCATTGTTTCACCACAACAATAAACAAAAGTGTTCATCTATTTATTACTCATCCAAGGATTTGTATCATCCAGAATCCAGACCTAAAATACCTTTTCTTTTCACAATATAAATATACATGTTAAGCTGCATGTAGACAGAAAAGAATCATAGGGAGAAGGGTTTTGCATACACATCAAATGGCTCACAGGCAGTTAATTGCGGTTCCTGCGAGAAAGTAAAACAGAGCAACACATCAGTCGCAGGAAATTCTCTTTAAGTAACATGCATATGGAACTTGCCTTGTGGGCTTTCGTATGACTATAGATCAGCATTTTAACTTCAAAAACTAGTAAATGTTGTGCAAAACAATACCTGTTTTAGCCCGCCAGTATCACTGCCTCCTGTCACAAGCATGCTGACTAGGGATGTCACAGCACCACCACCACCACCACCACCACCACCAAGAAGAGATGTTAAACTGCCACCACCACCACCACCAAGAAGAGATGTTAAACTGCCACCACCACCACCACCCGTACCTGTACTCCGAATGGTAGAGCGCATAGAATTGAGTATGCTTCCATAGGTGCCCGCTTGTCCACGCTCGATTGCTTGGATGAAGCAGAAAGTCATGGCTCCTGTTGATGTGATCTTTGATAGAGCCTGTTCCCATAAAGCATCATATCAGATAATGTTCTAATAGGAGTTTAAACTAGAGTTCTTCGCCCAAACTTACTGCTGTGTCAGCAGACGTTTGATCATCATCACAACCACTGAAGCAAATGACTTCTCCACCGCCTGATCCTTTCCACATGCCTGATCGAGGGCGATGATCCTCCCATACATATCGTCCACTCCTAAACCAAGAAGTGAAATTTGTTTATCACAAGAAATCCTATTTTAGATGAGGGGTAATTGAGCAGGCAGACTCATGATACTTATCAGTAAGAGAAAAAAATTCAAACTTGAAGCACAGTGGAAATCAGGGTCAGAACACAATAGAATTCGACAATGGTGACAATACTCATAAACATCACATGTAATTGAACGTTAAAGATCATACATGTATAAGTTCAGATTATAGAACCATAGTGAAAATCCCGCCTTGACCATATGAAAACTGGTTAAAACCATTGGACTAAAACTATAGAACTTGAAGAAAAAAGAATTTTGAAGGACTTTACTGGGCCGCCATTTCCTTTAAAATGGACCTATACAAATTTATAGTGTGAAATCTTTTGCTCAAAAGGGGCTCATGGCAAATGCCTTAAGTGTCTCCCCTCTGAAATGGCCATTTTCCTGACAGGTCTGCTATGATTACTAGCTGGAAGTCCATCTCACCGAAAGTACAATGTTCAGAAATGATATTTGTTGATTTTTCGTATGGTTCCAGTTACTAATAAGATGATAAGCATGCATGTCAGACAAATGTCAATCTACAGATCATTACCAAATTTACTGGAAACTAACCTGTCCATTCTGCAAAGGAATGGCAAATCCAGTACAGTGCCACTATGACAAGCATCTATTATTGCATGAAGCTTAGCCCCGGGTGGAATGGGTCTCACAATTGCTGCATTTATCTCATCATCAACAATCATACCCTGAGTTTCGAAGTCAAGGGGACAAAGGGTTTCATCATATCCATCAACTTCATCGCCATTATAATTCCTCTGCCGTGAACCATGGCCAGAGTAATGAAAAAAGAGGGAGTCGCCTGCTTGACAGCCTTGTACAAGCCAATATAATGCCATTCTAATGTTATATTTGTTTGGAATCTTGGAGGGGTGAGTTTCTTCTTCTGCAGTTCAGAACATGAGTATAAATTAACAGTACACATGTTACTAAAAACAAGAAACTGAGATATGATTCGCCAAAGGGTTCAGAGAGTGATTAGTACGTTGGAACAGGGAATTGCAATACAACTAATTCTTTGAAACTGCTAGCAGTCCAATCCCAACATAAACAATTGCTTTGTCATTGGTTAACTCGGAAAAGGGAAGAAACTTTGATATGAAGAGGGAAAAGGTTATCAAGAAAAAAACCACGGATTACGATCAGAATAAAGCTACCAAAAAAAAAAAATCATATTTGATTGATTTTAGTGCTTTTAACTGTTAATAACAACAATCCAAGAGGTGTAATATTATCCTGCAAGTTCTGATATAAACTAAACATCCTGCAAGTACTAACACAGTCTGTACATATCTACCACTCTTAAGGTTCCTATGGACTGTAAAAGCCAAGTATGAGAGTCAACCGAACATCCAAAAGTGTCATATAGAATAAGAGCCCTGATTTGTCGCCTAAGTTAACATACAACATGCCTTGGGTTGATCTAATCATTGAAACTGACTATTCAGCTAGGGAAGTTGGAAGATGCTCAGTTTAATCCAACATTACCAGAGAATTTATTGTTTTCTTGATAAGTAATGTTATCTAATGTTCTCAAAAGAAAATTAAGAAGCATAGAATGATTAGCTAACAGGATCTTGGTAATTAATTACCAAAGATAATGCACACATTGCAAATTAAACACCTAGTAGTTCACAAAATTTTGGGTCATTATTTCCTTTTTATCACTAATGATTATTTCCATACCTTTAAATCACTCATATCGTCAGTTCTCTCCTAAGATAAATGTCCAAAGACTCCGAACACTAAACTTCCAGTTTCCTATTTGAAACGTTACTTCATAAGGTTTTTAGCTGTTTTCCTCATCCGAACCCTCTCACAAAAATGAGGCAAACACATTGACAATGATCCGCTTTCCTAATCGAAACTTTTACCACCTAGCTGCATTTCTTATCCAAACCTTTTTCTCTCACAAACCCTACCCCTAAGAATATTCAGCTGCAATTCTCATCCGAACCTTTTTCTCTCACAAACCCTACCCCTAAGAATATTCAGCTGCAATTCTCATCCGAACCTTTTTCTCTCACAAACCCTAACCCGAAATCCGCAACCTTTATTTTCCCAAAGCCTTTTTCACTTTCCAAAGTCTTTTTCACTTTCTTCAAAACATACCAATTCAAATCACATCACCAGAAACCAAAACAGAACATATAATTGCACACCAAGAACAAATATTCACAATTATATACACGTTAGGTTATGCAAAATTCAAATTAAATATATATATATGTATATGTGTGTGTGTATACCAGTGAGCATGACAATGCAATCTTCTGGAAACTGGAACTTGTTGATGAGGAGATACCGCATGCACTTGGCATCATTGATGCAACCCTTGAGCTCATGCCTCGAGTACTTATACGAGATCCCGCAGATCACGGCCTTCTTCCGCCCGTGCGCGTTGGGGGGAGGGCCTGGAGGCGCGTGAGAGTATGGAGCGGGAGGCGGAGGCGCGTGAGAATATGGAGCGGGAGGTGGAGGCGCGTGGGAGGCTGGAGGCTGAGGGAGGCCGCGTGGGTCGGCGATTAGAGTGACACCCTGGCAGATGGCGCAGCGGATGGACTCTGCGCCAGGGGGAATCTGGAGAGGGGTGCGGCAGTGGGCGCAGTTCACCAGCATGTTATACATGGTGGTGGGTCAAACTGGAATTTGGATAAAAGGGCAGGCGTAGGATGGGAATGAAGTTGAAGTTATGGATTTCTGTGATTGCTGAGAGAGAGAGAGAGAGAGAGAGAGATGTAAACTGGGTTTGGATTGGGGATGAATGGAGACTCTGAAATTGGATTAATGGAGAGAGATGGCGTGTAAGATCCTTCCGTACCCGCGAACGGCGAAGAAAAAAGAAAAGCCTGGATCCGCGTATTCAATACAATTCTTTTTTTCTTTTCTTTTTTAATGATTACAACTAGGGAATTCTAGTCTAACAAAAAAATTTAATTAAATATGCAACTGTGTGTTCAAAATTACAAATTGCAACTACGGTCTAGTCGTATTCTTTTTTACTTATAAGTGAGAGGTTTTAGGTTTGATTCTCACCAAAGACGAATTTGAACCCTATTATTGCTAGCTCATTATGAGGCTAAGTCCTCCTCACTCCCCCTTAGTGTAGATAAACATCGTTTGTTCAAAAACAAAATGTTAATGCACAAAATCAATGAGACTTTGGAACAACGTAAAGTGTCAAGTTTCCAATCACCTAGTGATGATAATATGTAAAGAGATAGAGATAGGGAAGCAAAAACAAGATGTACTACATCCGCGAAGTAGAGAAGTTTTCATTAATAGTGAAGAGTTTACACAATGCATAGGTTCAAGCATAATAATCATTAGTGAGTCCTAATGACAAGTTTAAGTACAATTATGACATTAGGGTCTAATTATAGAAGAATGGTCTCCTTTTATAGTTAAGGAGAGTCTCCGGTTTCCGTTCAAGGTCAATGTGGGATTGTCACGCCCCAATCTCGAGATACGCTCGAAATCAACACGTGACAGTAGAACATTAACAGTACAATATAAAATACATAGTCACAGAGACTTATTCGTACAATATACATCAGAACTTCAGCAGAAATAACTTACCATAAAGGGTGACAATACTTATTCTCGAGTGCGCTACCCACACAACAACACCACCTGAAATCTTCTCCTCTAACCACTACCCGTTACTCTGCAAAAACAACCCTACGCAATAAGAATGGCGCACTGGGCAAAGCAAAATCGGGATAGGCTGCAAAGCTTCTGTGAGTGACAATAATACGACATATATGAATATAAGTAGCATCAAATGATTAAATGTAAAAGCAATGCTACATCCACACAGGACTTTCTTTTGAATACTGGGTTAACCGTCATTATGATCACTGCCAATATTATTTCATCATTCTCTTCATATTGTGACTCGCCACTCGGCTTTCCTCATCCGAGTTATCACAAGTGTTTGATTGCCACATAATTCATAATTTAACCACCATACGCCTCATTATACGTATAGGAATGGTTATTCAATTTCAAATCTCACCACATGTCTATTAAGATAACATTCAATCATCATACAACCCGAAGTTGTGTAGGAATGATACACCATCAATAATACAATCACATGTAGGAATGAGATTGGTATCTTTTTCATCATTGCATCTCTTCGTTACGAGTAGGAATGAGTCACATCCAAATCCATTCTCTTTTAGGCAACACCATCATGTAAAGTATTTGATTTAATCATCACTTCCTAAATTGAGCCACAAAAGCTTTCAATCTCCTTTTTCATATATGTAATAAATATATGAGGTGATGGGAAGGGCACATACATTATCTATATATGTGCCTTAATCGTGACCGCACAAAATAGGAGGTGATGGGAAGGGCACCCAAATAGGAGGGTAGACAATCTGCTTCCTTTACAGAAAGGCCATGACATAACACCAACGTCAGCACCAAACCATGAAGAGATTTTTTAATAATTGAAATAGGGACACATACATTATCTATATATAAAGGGAGAAGGTGTATGTGACTAATAAAAAAGAGAACGCGTATGTGATGAACCCTCAAACACGACGGAGAAAACGGCTCCAACCTATTAGCAGTTTTCTCTGAATAATTCCCACGATCTGATGTGTGATTTTAGTGGGAAGTTCAACAGTAACTACCCACATATCATCAATATACAGTTGGATGATCGGAAGGGAATCACTTTTTCATCTTTTTGAGTTCACTGTGTGGTTTCAATTTATTCCAACATAGAGAGTTCGACAAAATCAACGATAAAGATTGGTGAAGATCTGATATTTCGGAAAAATTCTTTTCTGAAAATCAAATAATCCATCGGGTTAGTAATTCATATTTTCAATTTCCGTTCTCTTCCCATTTATACATCTTTTCAATTGTGTATGAATTATTTGCTTTAATGACTCATAATTAGATTTGCGTTGATATTCAGTTGTGCTTTTTAATACATGAGTTTTTAATAGGAATGCCTAATACCTTGAATAATATCACAAATTTCCCCTTTTTGGTTGTTCGTGTTCTGGGTTTTGTGCTCTGCATGCAACGTGTCTTTTCAGCAGGTATAACACTTTCTGGATTATTCATCATAATTTTGTCTATTGCATTGCGTCAATAGAGTTTTGATTTATAGTGATTATAATTCTCTAACTTGAATAATGTTATTTTGTTGTAAATAATGTTTTCATACGGTGTGTAGTTGTGTATTTATTTGATAGTTCGTTAACCCACATCAAATTCCAGAGAGCAAAGCGTAGGAGGGGACATAGCCCCTTTTAAACCCCGCCATTTTTAACAAGGTTTGATATATATATATATATATATATATATATATATATATATATCTCTCTCTCTCTCTCTCTCATTTTTTTCATCCCTTCTTATTTATCTACATGTACCCTTAATATCTATGTAGATTATCCTCTAATTGGTAAACAGAATTTAATTATTATTATTTAGTTTATCATTTCACATCTACTAATTTTACCAGTTTAATGCTTGATTTCTTTTTGTCAATTTAATTGTGTTCTCCTAGATTACCTAATTGATTTCATTGCTTATTGAAAAATTTGTTGGAGACAGATTTTCATTTTCCTGTGATTATCTCAAGTAATAATGCAAATTATGACCAGAATAAACATAGGTTTCTTTTTTCCTATAAGATTATGATTTCGGGTTAAGAACACAAGGCCAAAGATATTATGTGATTATTTGAAATAGAATGGTTTTTGTAGGGAGTCTGAATGTCTGTTGTGGCTACAGGAATCAAAAGCGAGTGAAAGGTAAAAACTTTTCTCTCCCAAACATTCATCACCAGCAATTACAGCCAGAGCCAGGTATAGGGTTTAGGGTATATCTCTCCTCTTGCTTTCTTTCTACGATTTTTCTATCCAAATTTCTCTGAGAAAGTTAGGGTTTTGGTTTCCATTCTTGGATTAGATTTGTAGATATTCCTATGGATCCCACTTTTCTTTTATTTAATAGCATAATCTTGCTCTTGGTATTTTAACTTTGCTTTCTTTGCATCAAGATTGTATCTTTCTTGGTTTTCTATATAACCCATGTATTTCGTATATATTTACTTTTAGAATTCTTCGGTGTTGCTATTTGTATGTTTGGTGTCAGAAGTTTAGGTTTCATCTACTAGAAACTTGCATTACTGGGTTATAATCGTAAAGGTTCTATCAGACTAGTTACCGTATGTTACATTGTCCAGTTCAAGCCTTTCTTTGAAAATATTTTAGGGTTCTTTGTTAAACAATGGCAATGTGAAACTAGGAAGCGCACTTTTGTTGCTTAGTTGTAAGATACTTGAGAAGCCTAATATTACACTTAATCAAAGAATCAAAAAGGATGTGGATGTTTTGATTTCTTGGAGAAAAACAAGGACTAAACCTGGGAAGATGCTTAAAGCTCAGTAAAGAGACCTCCGGAAATTTATGCATGATAGTCGACTCTAAATCAAAATGTAAGGGAAACTTGACTTTGTCTAGTTAATAGTTGTTTGGCATAGTTTTCTTATGAGATTTTTGGGGTGGTCTTTGAAGAGTTGATGCGATGTGAGGTGAATTTTCAATTGAAATTTTCAACATTAGCCGCTCTTTCCAAACCGATTAGTTATCAATTTGGACTTCCTTTGAAGTTTATTTTTTGTGTATAATTCGTGACAGTTTGTAAACTACAGTTCATATATGCTTTGTAAACTACAGTTTAGATATGCATGCCTTCATTCATTTGACTTCATTTCACTTTTGTTGTTGAATTTATATGCTTTTATAACTAAATTTTACTCTGTCCAAAATATTTATAGCTTCATTAATTTCAAATAATAAGGATGGAATGTAGGGAGTCGATGTGAGGCAGTGTGCTTGTTTGGTTTCCGCAACAACTTGAAATTCTACAATGGCTATATATTGTAGCTTGAAATTCTACAATGGCTAGATATTGTACTTATCAACAAATTTATATGCGACTTAATTATATTTTATTTCTTTTTATTTGCAATTGTATGTTGAATTTTGTTTTTATGACATGATAAATAAAATATCTAACACAACACATTGTAAGGGGCGCGAGCACCCTTGATTAAAAAAATTGTCTCTCTTTGAATATGCTTCTACGCCTACAAGAAGCCTTTCTTTTATCACATAACTTAATTATATTCCATTTCCTTTTATTTGTAATTGTATGTTGTATTTTATTTTTAGGATGCAATATGAGAAAGAAATCAGCTAACATAACATATCATCTTAAGGGGCGCATAGCGCCCATAATTAAAAATTATCTCTTGCATACGCGTGAGCATGTGTGAAGAGATTAGTATTATTATATAAAAAGGACACTACAAAAAGCCTTCCCCCCACACGTACTGCTCCGTATCCTGGCGCATTAAGAAAAAATCTCTCCAAACCAGGAGTTCACGACCTTCCCGTCTTCCCCCAACAGAAATAAAAAGCCCAAAAGAAAAGGGCCAACAGAAATACAACCCCCCACCCCCCACCCCTCCCAAACATACATGACACATCTTCCGTGAATATATTGCATAAGTTTGTGCGTCTGCAAATTGCATATTCAAATCTCATGTTGCTTTACTTATTTCCTTCGTTTTTTATTTTTGTGTTCAAATGGGAATTGCAAAAGAGGAAGATATAGACACTCACATACATATGTGTATACACACACACACATATAATATAATCTGTAGCTAATGGAGTGATTTCTATGTGTTGTAGTGTGGGATATTGAAGGAATTTATTGCTTTAATC